CTTGGAGAATCAACAATTTGAGAGTTGACAATTGGGCAAATGGGCGATGAAGTGGTTGCTCCTACATCACAATTTGTGAACACGAGATTTTAGCTATCTACCAACCACTGGTACTTTAATTCCAAAGTTGACTGCGAGGTACCTGTCTTTCAGAAGTCCTGAAAGGCTCACAAACCATTCCCTGCTACTACAGATTTCTCATGCAATTTGAGGTTCCAAAAATTTTGTACTATCAGGTTGGAAACAATATTCCAGTACACATTACAATCTTGACGTTTCTGAAGGATTCTCAGGAGTTGTCACTAACTCTCGTGGGAGGTTGTGCCTGCATAACTTCTCATACATTTGTTGTAATTGTTCGTGTGTTAAGGCAAAAATCCTACGCATTCGTAGACTTGTATTCGTACAATTGCTGTCAGAAACCGCCAGAATATAGCGCAGTTCTTGGTGGCACTGGTCCTACTCAGAAAGGGAACGCGGCCACACTGGTTGTAGCGGATCCATGCCAAAGAATTAAGTCGTCCTCGTAAGCTTCTCAATCATCGGCTGGAACGGTGTTTCTGTGCTTTACACTCTGATGTTAGTGAAGTTTACCTCATTTATCACAGGAGCATTTTGGATTGGGCGTGTCATCCAATTTTTCGCTGCAGACACATAAGAAGCACATTTTCAGGTCAAACAGAACATTGTCAACTCACTCTAGTCAATCCACAAGAATAATCTTATTTCTTTGTCTCAGTGAAAGTTGGGGTGCTTGAAGCTGGGTACTATGCTTTGATCTACAAGTGTGCAGCATCATGGGCGCAGGAAGTGAAGCAAAAATGCAGTCAAATAGCAGACAACGCCCAGTGTCTTTAGCTAATGCTATTCACGGTAGCTGCCGTCGTTAGAACCCCAAATTAAGCATATGAAGCCTCGTAAGGATCCCAACGACAGGAGCAAGAAATTTGAGCTGAAGTTGAAGAAACTGTGAACAAATGTCATCCTCTTCAAATTCCATGAATCAAAATAACACAATAACACGGTTATCGGAAAAAAATAACTTCGGGAATCTCTTCGCAAAACATATTTTGACTCACACAACGCCAGCAGCCATCCAAAGCTCGATACCACATTCTCACAGCTTCTCAAGGTTTTACATGGAATCAAATCAACTTGAGTAATGTACGTGTAAAGTATATTACAGGGGCCTCAATCAGGAGATTCAAATGATGTTCCAAAGTTGCACAAAGAACCAGCAGAGAAGAACTTCAGGACCTCTAATCATGATCATGAACGGACGTCCAGTCCCATACTCCCGTACCTGAAAGTTGGAAGCTCTGAATCTGCCCGTTGGACTGGGAAAAACGGACATGCGCTTCTGGAGCAACAAGCTTCAGAATGACACGTTGCTGCAGACGAAGGGCGGCGATGGGATGGGCTGGAACGATCCACCTTGGACATGGGCGTCGACGACCGGGGCCACGGCTTCGGCAGCGTACGCAGCGCTCCTGGAGGACCTGGACTAGCGGCAATTCGTCCCGACGGCGATGGTGCAGCGGCGTGGGGACGGGCATTCTGGCGCTGCTGCACATCGACTGGCGCGAGCGGTCTTCTGGGCGAGACATAGCGCTCGGCCGCGGATTGGCAAGGCTTCATGCTCGTTATCGGTGTCAGAGGCCTCTTGGATACCCACCTCCTCCGCCTGGACCGCGGTGTTAAGGTCAAGGGCTCGGCCAGAGGTGCGACCGCAGCAGATCCAACATTCGTCAAAGCAGCAGCGGTGGGACTAGGCCCAACAACAGCCCTGTCATGATCACCGTATTCCACTGACAGGATGTTAGATTTGGACTTCTTTTCTTATCCGCCGCGAGAAGACTTTCATTATCCACTTCGTCTTTCTGCAGCACCAGACGCTGCAGAATTGATACTGCTCCCTACATGCCAGATGTCCAGAAAGGCACAGAATCCAGAAGTGATCTCGACATGCTGGTCTGAAAATTGACAAGAGTCAGAAACCGTTTTGCAGCTTTTGCTCCTTGAACCAACTTCAACCTTCAGAGGGGTTATGTACCGAAGTGGCCATTCAATTCGAGCAGAGGTCTGCCTATTGTGGTATGACAAGGAATGTGAACCCAAGTACTGTAATAGCATATTGGAAATAGCTATCAAATAATCGGATGTCTAATTAGCCTCTGGTGAGTGCGCGCTGTACCTTAATAGTAGCAGAAGTGACTCCAATCTACTATACTTTCTGAAAGAATTGAAATTTTCAGATCTGGTGGCAATTTCACTCATTGCGCACCGTTGTAAGTACAATTCTTATTTTTGCTCATCATTTTTTACTGTCATTTTGAGCGAAATTACTCCTGCGCGGATAGAATGGTTGGTACAGTACCTCCACAGGGAATAAATACGGGAATACGCTCCGTCTTTCGGACTGTAATACCTCCAACAAAATGCATTCACGTACATCACAATCACACGTACTGACCTTGTGCTTGAGCGTGTGTTGTTTGTGGAGAGCTGTTCTCGGGTGGAAATCGAGCTAGGTAAGTCTTGACTCAGGATATTAGCAGCGATACTGGTCGTTGCTGTAGTCCGATATCCTCTCGGGACCTGCTGCTGCAATTCAACATAACTGGAGCCGCGGGGGCGGGTTGAAGTTCCACCACCTGATGTAGTTGTAGTCGTCATCCTCGACCTCGCGGTAGTCCTTATGGAGGCTTGAGTTTGAGCTAGAAGGACTGATTCATAGATTGCGAAAGACCAGGCAACCAGAAGCAGATACATGACAGATGCTACGGGGCCCTTCCAATACAGTACCAGCAATGTGGCGAGACATCCCACCAAGCTCTCTATGCATCTCCCGTGCCATGTTCTCTGATCGGGCATCCGAAAAGCGTTTATAACACTAATAGGTGCAGAAGACGCCATCGTACACAATCTCCTGCGTCAGTATCTGGAGAGCTAGCTCAATCTTTGGCTCAAAACTTGTGAAGCGAGATCGATGGAGGTCGTCCAGATACTCATTCTCCTGCGTGCATGTTCCAGAACTGTTCGGCACCTCAGTATGCCACAGAATACAACATCCAATCCCCTTGCTATCGATCAAAAACGTTTGGGTGGATGCGAATGTGGAGAATCGAATTTCTTTGTTGACGGACAATTCAGAGCAACTACTGAGAATTGGATGGTCCAGCCGTTCCCGCCAATGAAGTAAGTAATGTGTGACCTCTATCTGGATCGCACCGAGAGAATTATCTTCCAGTTGTGAAGTGCATGTTCTCACGTCGATCTCATTTCAGTTTCACAAAATTGATCTCCACGCTGCTGATATGGACAAATGATAAACCGGATCGAGCGACGGATCACACACAGCCTAGGGTAACTAGCGTATTTCAGCTCGTTGCTGAAAGCTTACAGACTCTTCAATAAGAGAACCTCCGCCCCGGCTCTGCTCTATATCAAGTTTGTGATTACTAACCTTGCGCACGTCCACTGTAATCAGTTCAAATTTTCTCCAGCTCAACGTTAAGTAGCCGTTGAGCGTCACCCATTTCGTGTACCAGAATCTAGTTCCATGATTGTGCATTGTGTTCCGCTTTCATGTCGTTCAAATTGGGCGTTGAAAGTCCTCATGTTGGACCAGTGACCGTGTGCATGAGAGAAACCAACGCCCACAAGCCTAAGGCCGGATCCCGATCCCGGGTTCCGGGAGAAAAAGGAAAGGAATGGAAGGTTCGATGATTACGAGCAGACGATACACATGTTTCGAAAAGTGGCGAGCACGCTCACACGCCGACCGGTCGATCGGTCTTCGCTTCGCTCGAGCTCGCCATGGCTTTGTTATGACCGGAGGCAAACAAATGAAAAGTCGGCTGAACTCGAAGGCAGACCAGGAAATGAACACAGAACTCGCTGATTGGGTCGAATTTCTTGCTCTCTTCTGAATTGTCGCCGAAAAGGGTCCGTGGTGGCCACACAAAGACAAGAACTTTGACGTCGTTACTCGAGTGCAATGCCTCTCCGTTGCGGGACCCACAGATGGGTCGATGTTCCCGAGCTGGCGAACGAGCAAGGAGAGCATTCGCCGACGGTTTTCCTTTTCAGCTGCTTCCGCTACCTATAGGCTCAAAATTCACACTTTCACGGGCGATTGAGCTTCCGACGGCAGCATCAGGCGCAAACTACAGACTATTCTATGAATCTGATTTTCGTGAAAATTTATACGAGGTTGGAGGTCAGATTCTGTACTCGATACCGTTCACCTTTATTAGTGTGGTCCAAATTCAGTGTTTCCTACTCAATTTTCAGGTATACCTTGTAAAAGTGAGGTAAACATTTCTGGATATAGACTAAAATGGTGCACATTATTTGTATTTGTCGTGCACTAAGCAAGTAACAATTTCTCATATTAAATTGACCATTGATCAGAATCCGAAGGAGGGAACAAACTCTTATCTCTCTTGTACGAGTCAAACCATCAGTTGAGAATCTACACCTTAATTTATCTTGTTGAAATGAGAGAAAAAAAAGTATAAAACTCTTATTTCTCTCGTACCATGCCAAATGTAACTGGAAAGTCCATAGCTTGATCGACGACTAATCGATATTGGAATGAGTAAAAACATACGTATTGCTATAGTAATAAGAAAACTGTGACCGGAAAATCCACAAGTGGAATGATAAAAATTTAACCACGCACTTTTTAGGGAGGAGCACTCTGATTAAGTGCCCAGACTTAATACGTTGGTGGGTGTATTCTTCCAATATCGTTGAATCTGGTCTAGTAGTTTGAGAGTAGAAAGGAGTAAAAGATTTCGTATTGCTCTCGTTGACCAAACTGTAATTGGAAAATTCACGCTTAAAATGTGGAGAACCGCATTAATATACAACCAACGTAAATATGGTCAAAAGTGTTTTGCACTTACCTCGATCAGTATGGTTGAATAAATTTAGTAAAATGGATGGATTGCTAGAGTATCGACGTCAGAGGGTAGAAACTCGTTATCCAAAAACGGCATGGCTTTATCCAGGCTCGAACTGGAGACCTTCAGTGTGTTAGACTGATGTGATAACCAACTACACCATAAAACCGATGGCCGAGAAATGATGATTAAATTTCATATACTTTACTTTTTAGGCATTTTCATGTGGAAAATACATGTCAAGATTCAAGATGCTCTATTATACTTTGTCCCCTTTTCCGGGTATTTCCTCCTCAATACAGTAGCCTTGCAGTGAATTTACCCTTGTTCCGGTTTCCTTAGCTAGAAAGTTGTTCCGATGACCTGTCATGTCCTCAAACTGTGTGAACTAACAAGGAATTGTATATGCACAGTCAACTTCGCATCACATTCGGGCCAAGGGAAACAGCAAAGAAAGCTGACACACAAACGCCTTGACAAGCCTTACAATATTGTTGCATGAAGTGGATACTTATTAGAACGATTAACCTCTACAATGAAATGGATGCAGTGGAAATGATGATTTTTATATTCAATATTAGGGGTTTTCAAAATAGACCCGTAAAAAAATCTGCAGGGATGTAAGAATTCTCATACAAATAAACTCCCTTACGCATAAAAATTGTATGCTATATTTATGTGATCCATAAAATTGTTATACGGGTAGATCCAGTGAAAAAATTCTCTTTACAATACTCCAAAATTTGGAAAAATAAAAATAAAATTATGAAATGAAAATAGTGAACAAAATTTTAACATGAATGGTACTTTTCGTAAAGTTAACGGTTAACTTTTATGAATCCCATAAAATGTTCATCCGTGATCCCAATAATCCCATTAGGGCACTGCGATTAAAATGTTATGGGTGTTTCTGAAAGTATACCAAGCACGGCTGGCTCAACGATTTGAGCGCAATTCTTTCAAGAATGGATAAAGGATTCAAAACCCCTCCTAATATGTGGCCCTTGGTTGCAATCTGTGAGATCACCGTCTCCGATTGGGGTTTGATATTGCTTCCTAGTGGGTTGTCACAACTCCTGTCCATCGGGCACTTAGTTAAATTCTGGCATGAAATGAGAAAAATCGTGCCAGAAATAAAACAAGAACGGAGAGTTATCTCCATTTCACATTTATGCTATTATTGGATACCATCATCATAATCTTTTTATACGTAATTTATAAAAATGTTATATGTGTGATTAAGTTGATATTAAAGTGCAGTGCGTTATCATTCCGACATTGTATCAGATATATCTTGACGTCATTTCTTTGGATCTAAGCAAGTATAAACCGTTTATGAAATGTGTTCATGAATTGAAATTGTACAGTCCTACTAGAATGGTTTGCCCTCATACGTTGAAGAACCTATGACTTTGAATAATGCTAATAGTTTGAGATTTGCACGTATTGTCTTTAAATGTGGTTGATAGTTCAAAATAAGTGAGTCTACAGAATTCTGATCTGCTGGAACATAGTATATTGTAGAAACTAATACTTAAACTTATTTACTTTCTGATAATGATATAATGGAAATTTTACTTCATTTTTACTTTTACATAAAAGTATGTTTGATTGATAAGAAAATGTCAAAAAATACAAATTTATAGGAATCAACATGCTTGCATGTAGATGGATTAAAGTGTGGCATATGAGACAAGTCTTTCCATGACTAGTATAATCATCTTATTAATTTATTTTTTAACCATAATCTCTAATCAAGTTGTTGTAAAGAGAATGTTACGACAACAGGTTCTGAGACATTACAGCTTTGAGGCGCAACTAAGGATGCAAGTGCGGTGATAACTGCTCCCGCAACCCTTGCAACTGCAAGTGAGACAGCAGTATCCATTGAAATCATGCTCAGCTGGCTGACATGTTCTTTAATATCTGATTACGGAAGGGTAATTTTGAAACGGAAAGTGGTGGTGCCCTTGTGCCCAGGGATGAGGCCATATCCTACAACGCCATGTAGAAGGTTAAGGTCCTCTGTACATCTGACGACATAAATAAAATCACCAATTCTAAAACGTTAGAGTTAAATTCAAGTTTTCATGTGAAAATTTTTGGTAAAAGGGTATTGCATCTTATATTTATGATGATGCAATCCCTTGTGCAATTGTAACAATTGCACAAACTGCATCTATAACAAGCGGAACTCTCTCGGCATCCACATTCATTATCCTCATGAATTGTTTAATACTCCGCTTTAGCAATTTCCACCAACTTCAGGCAATTCAGATTTGTGCTAATCTTGAACTTCCATAATCTGCATTTCAATAACATTACTTGTGTGTTGTAGAATAGGAGTCTGAACTGTACGATTACAACCACTAGCCCCTGCAGCATTCTCATCAGTGACACCAGAAGCCTCATGCATGTTGGGATCCAACCCTAGGTCCACATATAAAACATATACAGAAAACATAGTTTCAAATAAGTGACAGAGAATGTTATTAGGAAAACTCGGATGACTTTATTAAGTCTCATAAGACCCAACTAAAGTGATCAGGTCACAACTGCATGTGGAGCTATATTGTCTAGTTCTCACCCAGGAAATCCGAACTACGCATCTCCATGAGGAAACTTTGTACGAAGTTTCATGAGCAAGTTGCACAACAAGAAGCTGAACTATCAGCTTCCTTTCTTTGTCCTGTCTATAGAATCTCAGAACCAACGAACAGCATATGAATCAACCGTTCCAGAATGAAAGAACTCATGCTAGAGAAATTCGATATTCTCGGACAGGATGGCTATGTAGTATAAATGAGTAAAGAAGTCCAACACCTGGACTCGATATTTCATCAATTATGAATTGCTTATGTGGAATTCAAGATATGGAAGCCGATGGACTGACTGATTGATCGATACCCTCTCATCTCGGAGCTTTCGAAGCTGTCCTTGGACCCCTTGCGGCAGCAGCTGGCAAAGTCAACAAACCAGAATTTAGAATCAAATAGAATCTGCACGGAATGAGACAATTATTGGCGGGTGAAATCACAGTCAGGGTGTCCATAAATGTTAACATTTGATGAACGTGAGGATCTAGGAAAGACGGGGGCTACAGACTGAATATAACTTAGCAGAATTGAAAGATTCCACAATCTGCTCTCAGATTTTTATGCAAGTGAGGTACATTTTCAATCTCGATATCTGAACAGATGAGCCTATCATAGAGTAGAAACAAAATTTTCTGAAAAGTGGAAGAGAAATTCGCACTGCTTCCCGAGCAGGACCTCAACTCGTCCCCACATGTGAATGAGATACATGCCTGAATCTGCGTTGACAAACCATGACTTTCACTAGCCTGGTGCCGGTGCTGCAGTTGCAGGCAGCGCCGCATGAACAAGCCGAGCTTCCGCAGCCAGACATCCTGAAATGGTCGAAAGAAGGAAGTGACGTTAGGCTACAGCAAAGACAGGGAAGTGGAATGGAATGATGGAGATGTGAAAAGCAGAAGGTTCCTGAGCAATGCGTCGTGCTGCTGAAGAATCCACGGCCAGCAGGTTCCTTCTATACTGACCTCAGATCATACAACCATCGCCTATCTCGATACGAAATTCACAAGCTGCAGGTGCTAGGAAAACGAATCGCAGACCTTCCCGGTCTTTGCCGCTGCCGTGGCCAGCAGTTGCTGAGTATGGGCACCGAGCAGGGTCTGGGTGTTCATCAAGTGGCCAACAAGAATGCAATTGCAAGACTCAATCATCGTCAGCCTCGTAACTGTACACGATGGTCAGGTCTCTATAGATTGTGTCCTCGAGTGGCAAGTTGATTTGGCTTCTTGTGCAGCCTGCATCATGATCGAGTGGATCATGGATCCCAAGTCTCTCTGCGTGACGCTGAGAGAAGTATTTGCAGGAGGGACCATTGACGGAATAGTCTTCTAACATTACCACAACATTAGGATTAAGATTCATATATATACAGATATATCCTTTCAATATCCTTGATCATCAACTTAATTATGATGATCGAGGATCCTCATAATTAACCGCATCCTCGTGTTGATTTTCAAAGCTTCGAGTAAGATAGGCGACCGCCACCGGAGTCAACATCGGATCATGCGAAATCTCGCAGGCATGTTAGACACTGGTTCAAGTTTTCTAGACGGAGGGCCAGGGTTACCACGACGGTAAGGAGAGATCTACAATCCAGAGTGGAATAGTCTTCAACGCGCAGAATCAAACTTCATTCGACTATTTGACAGTCATAGATCGAACACGCTACACAGGACACCATGAACAGCTCAGGCACATGAACGCTTGAGGAATGTACGAACGAGTTGAAGAAAATGTTGATCTGAGCTTAATCCAAATTCTCATCTGGTCTTTTGTATTGTTACCTTGGATTTCATCTGGTCTTTTGTATTGTTACCTTGGATTTCATCTTGATCTTCCACATTTTCCAGCTTAGAACATATTTAAATTTTCTCCTCGGATGTTGTGTTTGCATGGAAAATCAGATTTATATGACGTATGTCTTCACCGGTAATCTGCAAGATGAAGTCACATCCCTCCTGCTGTTGAATTCTGAGAAAATGCTTACAAGAGCTATCCTAGCATCCATTGCTCGCGCCTCATGATACTGGCGGAGGACGATTTATTACGCGGAGAAAGGCCTAATGTGAAAATTTCACAGTTACAACTTTTGTTGATTATTTTGGTATGGAAAAGTTTGTCTACTTGTGCTGGATCCTTTTCTGTCTACAATGTTTTCTAAAATTTAATCTGATGTTATGGATCACTAAATTATTGATCAAACCCGTGCACGATATACACGCTGATCAATCTGTTTGGGAATTTTTTCACAGGAAAGGGTAGTAGCGAACGCACTTCTAGCTGGTGAATGCCTCCTAGCATTTAACATTTTTCCACAAAGGCAGTAGGGATTTGTTTCACATTTTAGACTGGATTATTCCCAAGTTAACAGTTAATTTCTTTTCTGTAAACTCTCAACCTGCTTTGCAAAAATTTGCTTATAAGGGAGGCTGTTAAGCTCATAAGTCCAGAAACTTCAATATTGGAGTCGATTCTGTGGAAGATTTTGTCTACTAATCCAGGGGCTAACAGTAAAAAATGTTTGATCCGCGCCATAGGAGGCATATTTGGCTATGCAGAGATTCCTGAGATAGTTTTCTC